TCCCTATTTTCTTTTCTTATTCCTTTTTTTATTTCTCTCTTTCATTGAATATATTGACTTCTTAACTGCCCATTTCCTCTTTTGATACGCCTATATATGCCTCTCTTTTGACCAATGAGATGTTTTAATCTATTGTTCATCTATTTGGGATCATTTTTGTTAGATCTAATTTCCCTGCTCGGAACAAAAGTTGTCTGGGCAGCTAGAACAGTATCATCGGTACTAAGCATCACCACCACCCAGCATCTTCCCCACTTAGCATCACCACCACCCAGCACTATCAATACTCATCATCACCACCACTCAGCATTATCACTACTCATCATCGCCACCATCCAGCACCACAACCACTAATCATCATAAAAAAACAGTATCATCGGTACTAAGCATCATCACCACCCAGTAGCATTATCACACAATATCACTACCCAGTACTATGACTACCCAACATCACCACTCAGTATCACCACCATCCAACAGAAACATTAAGGATTGTCATCCCACAATTTCACCACCACCAAGGACCGCCACAACTCAGGAGTATCACCACTCAGTAGTTTCACTACCCATTATAATCACCCAGCATTGTCTCCTCAAACCATCATCACCACCCAGTATTACCATTTTCAAACATCATTACGACCCATCATCATCACCCAACATCAGTACTACTCAGCATCATCACCACGGAGGATCATTACCACCCAGCAGCATCATCACTCAGCGTCATCACTAACCCAGGATTATCGACACACAGCATCATCACTCAGCGTCATCACTAACCCAGGATCATCGACACAGCATCGTAACCCATCATCACCACCTCCTAAGACCTCGCCCCATAGCATCGTCCCGACCTAGCATCATTATCACCTAGCATCATCACCACCTAGAATCATTAACACCTAACATCATCATCACCCAGCATCATCACTAACTAAAATCACCATCTATCATCACCACCTGGCATCACTACGACCCAGTATCACCACCAAGCATCACCACCACCTAGTATCACCACAATTCACCATCACCACCACCTAGCACAACCTACGCAGAACATCATCACCCAGCATCACCAAACCTAGCATCACCACCACCCAATATCACCACCACTCAGCATCAACACTACTCAGCATCACCACAAGAAAACATCACCACCACCTAGCATCACCACCATCTAGCATCATCACCAGCCAGCATCACCACTACCTTTCATCCTCATCAGCCAGCATCACCACCCCCCAGCATCACCACCCAGCATCACACCGCCACATCACCACCACAAAATATCACAACCATCTAGTATCACCACTATCTAGCATCATCACCACCCAGCATCACCACTACCTTTCATCATCACCACTCAGCATCACCACCACCCAGAATCAAGACTACCCAGCATCAACACCCAGCATCGCCGCTACTCAACATCACCACCCAGCATCTCTGTTATTTAGAATCATCACCACCCAGCATCACCACTACCCAGCATCGTCACAACCCAGCACCACCACCACTCAGCATCATCAACACCCAGCATCATCACCATCCACCATCATCACCGCCTAGTATCACCAAACGGCATCTTCACCACACAACGTCATCACCACCCAGCATCATCACCACCAAGCATCATCACAACCCAGCATCATCACTGCCCAGTATCACCACCCAGTCATTATCACTACCTAGTATCATCATCACAAAGTATCACAACACATCATCATTACTAACCAGCATCATCATTGCCAACATCATCACCACGCAGCATCATCACCGCCCTGAATCATCTCCACCCAGTATCAATGTAGCCAGTGAGCCTACATGCCTAATTCCCATAGTTTCCATCAGAGGCCAGGCCTCTCGGTGGACATGCCAGCCTGCCCACCCCTGCATCTGCCTCACTCACTCAGCGGCCTAGACTCAGACAACAGGTCCTGGGCACAAACACATAAGCCTGTGTACCCACCACGACTTTGCAAATAAAGTAAGAAGCCTCCGAAGCCTTTATCATTACTCCCTGCTACCAAGAAACACCCAAATAATCCGGTAAACATTGGTGGAAGCAGTGGTCGCAGCAAGTGTGTTTGCGGAGAGAGGAAGGAAGAGGGATGAAGTCATCTTCACTTCATCGCCCTACACAAGAAACATCCATCTCTGAACGAGTTATCTTGAAGTTATCCTGATGTCGTGTCTGCACGTTTCAGCATCCAGACACAGGTACAAGCAGGATTCAGGCCGAAATTTGCCGAATTTCTTTGAGAATTGTAAGTGGCGTCCCAGTGACCCCACGCTGGATGCTGTTTCTCAAGTCAGGTATTCAGTGTTCAGCGTCACTTGTATGTCCTGCTGTTGTTGTTCAGCTCAGCACAGCTATTTCAGCAAGGCAGAGGTGAGTAGTGTGTCTCTGTATTGTGGGTGGGAGAGGAGGAAGCGGCCAGGTTTCTGCCTCACTCGCACCTCACCCACTTACCACCACATTCCACCATTATGTGCTCACTCCCTCTGCTGTGTTTTCTGCTGTTTTCCATGTGAATTCATTGCCAGAGCTGTGTATCTGAGTGCCCGAGGCCACTCAAGCTATGTGGATCAGCATGCCACATAGACCACGACGCCACGTGGATCCCGACGCCACATGAGGTGTGGATGAAGCCACATGGATCTACGAGCCACGTGAGCTAGGGAGCCAGACGTCCCAGACCAAGGCCACATGCTGCCCGACTTCATGATGTCACGTTGTCTGCCTTACGTCACCTCGAGACGTCTGCTGATGTCAGTGTTGACGTCAGTGCTGCTGACGTCACGCCTGACATCACATGATGTCACATCGAGTGTTTCAGTAATTATTTCAGTATTGTCGAGAAGATTGAGAGAAGATATATGTCCTGTGTTAATTAATTCCTCTCAGTCAGTGTTCTCACATGTTAGTGTATGGCTTAGTGACCCCAGACCCCAGAGTAGCACTACTGTTTTACTTGTCACCCGGTGGGACCCTCGCATTTGACAGCTGATATTAGTCAGCCTGAGCTTCCGAGCCTCTTGTACAGAAAGCTCTTATTGTTTGTCACTCGTGATGCCCTGCAGAATCGTACCTGCTACGATTCCCATCGAGATTTGTTTCACTTCACCTCCAGACCATCAGAGTTCAGTTATATGTAGAGAAACGATTCTGGGGACGCTTAGACTAACCTCTGCTATAACTCCAATTGCCGAGAGAATGACACTCGTCAAGCTGCAGTTAGCCCTGTCGACAGGCACTGTGTCAGCCTCCTGTCATAGCTTCTGTGAGCAGCCTGCACAAAGATGATGTCACTTTGACTGCTAGACCGCTCACTGCAGTACAGTGTATGCTGTTATGACTCCCAGATGTTTTGCCAAGTCGTCTCTGCCACGACTCACCCCACACTCGCTGGCAATGACAGCCCAGCACCAGTCCTCCTGAGTCACTTGCCAGAAGTCCTGCCCAGTTGCTGAGTACTGACGACGCCTCACTCGAGGGTACCAGCAGGTTGTGCCCCAGGTTGAGTGAAACCCTGCAGCGACTCTGATTCCTACGATACTGCTTCACTGTTCCAGAGGAGACTGTACTTTATGTCACAGCTCAGCTGCAGCGATGTCTCCTGTGTTGCAGTATCTGTCCAGATGCAGGAAAGCGTGCAGTGATACCCATTGACGCTCACTGCCTATGACCACGATATTTAGCACACCCCACCTGTTTTTTTCTTCCCTCCCTGTAGGAATTTTTTTTCCCCATGTCGATAAGTATATATATATATGTTTTTATTTTGTGTTCTGGGCCCTGTTTCTACAAGAGAGAGACCGAGTTTTTTTTTACCGCCAGACATGGTCGGGTCGACCATGTGGTAGGTGGCCGAGCGAAATGTAGCCAGTGTGCCTACATGCCTAATTCCCATAGTTTCCACCAGAGGTCAGGCCTCTCGGTGGGCATGCCAGCCTGCCCACCCCTGCATCTGCCTCACTCACTCAGCAGCCTAGACTCAGACAACAGGTCCTACTCCTCTCTCCCTCGTGGGCATGGCCCTCCCAGGCCATGGGCACAAACACACAAGCCTGTGTACTCACCACGACTTTACAAATAAAGTAAGAAGCCTCCGAAGCCTTTATCATTACTCCCCGCTACCAAGAATCACCAAATAAAGTGGTAAACATCAACTCTGAGCATCATCAACACCCAGCATCATCACCACCAACTATATCACCACCCAGTATCATCAACGCCCAGCATCATCACTGCCTAGCATCATCACCGCAAAGTATTATCACCCAGCATAGTCAGCGCCCATCTTCATCACCGCCTAGTATCACCACACAGCACCATCACCACCCAACATCATCACCACTCAGCATCATCACCACTCAGTATCATCACCCAGCATCATCATTGCCCAGCATCATCTCCATCCTGCATCATCAATGCCCAGCATCATCACTGCCCAGCATCATAACTGCAAAAAATAACCACCCAGAATCATCACCCCTAGCATCATCACTGCTCAGCATCATCACCACCCAGCATTATCAACGCCTTACATCGTCAATGCCCAGAATCATGGCCCAGCATCATCACTACCCAGCATCATCGCCATCCAGCATCATCACCATCCAGCATCATCACCCAGCATCCTCACTATCTAACATCATCACTGCCCAGTATAACCACACAGCGTCATCACTACCTAGCATCATCATCTAGCATCATCACTGCTCATCATCGTCACTCAGCATCACCACCACCTATCATCATCACCACTCATCCTCACCATCCAGCATCATCACCACCTAGCATCATCACTGCCCAGTATCACCGCCCAGCATCATTAACGCTGAGCATCATCACCATCCAACATTATCACTCGGCATCATCACCATCCAGCATCACCGCCCAGCATCATCACCTCCCAGCATCATCACTGCCCAGCATCATCACCGCCCAGCATCATCATCATTATCCTGGCTCACCTTGACATGCAGCTGACACACATCTCTGGAGGTCTTGGTGACGAGATAGTGACAGTCAGTGTTTGGAGGGTACTGGTTGGGGTATTCTGGAGACTGCAGAGCTGCAGTGGGAGTGGTCACCAAGCCACCACACCCACTTGGGTTGATAGACGTCCGCTGACTCACCCTAATCTGGTACCCGTAGTCCAGAGAATTTTGGGTCGAATCAGAGTGGAAAGTGATTGTCAGCTCGTTGCTCAAGAAGCTGATAGTTCCTGTGAGAGATGAGGAAAAATTAAATCTTCTATGACACCGGTTAATTTACTGGACAAATTCTATGGCGAACGTGATATGTCTGCATGGGATGCAATACATCTTTCTGTCGAAGGGGAATTGGTGAGTTGTGTAGGACTTTAAACTGATATAAGATAGAGGTATGGGTGTTTGTGGGAAACTTAACAGGTTGCAACACGAGAGATGAAAGCAGCAAATATTACTAGGATATTTCAGGGATATGTTTAAAAGACATTGTTCATCATATTTTTTTTAATATATGCTGTGGAATTTTTTTTACATAATTTTCCTACAGGTAGAACATATAAATGAATAATATAATAAATGCATATTAAAATCCGATGCTATTTGGACCCTTCGAGAAATTTAAGTGATGGGGGTGTAGAAGAGCCGGAGAGTGATGCAGACGAGAGACGATGTTGAATTTAATATGGGAACACTGGATTGAGTTGTGCAATGTGATCGGGCGTTCTCGAAGGTCAATTGAGGTTTTTCAGCCTGAATTTGTAATTAGGAACATGTGTTACTGTCCCCTGCTGAAGAACTGGGACAGGAAATTTGCGGGACCTCAAGAATTACGTGTGGATGGCGGAAGATAAGGGATGCGAGCATCACTCACAGGGAAGAGCACCTTTATTCCCTGCATTTAGATCTCTAGCTGGCCAGTATAGGGTCTAGGTGTTAGGCAGGTGTTGTGGTGTGATCCATCTACAGTAATTAAATGGTAAGTGTTAATACCAATTATATTTTGTGTACCCAGCAAGCCTAATTACATACAGTCCATAACTTTAATTTACCAGAGTAGCTGGTTTTAATATTATAATTATTATTTTAATGTCAGGTCTAGCTTTTTGTGGAAGTGGTGAGGAAGTGGGCATCAAGGGAGTTACAGTTCAGTGACCTACTACCTTCCTTACGATTTACTATACTAATAATAGGAGTCTAAGATATAAGACAGATGAGCTAAGATTAATTGCATATATAGGAAGCATAGACCTTTCTGCTATAACAGAGACCTGGTTCATCCTGAAAAAGAGAAATGCCTTCTGAATGCCACATACAAGGCTATAAATTATTTTACGCCGACAGGGCCAACAGGAAAGGTGGTGGAGTGACGATATATGTCAGGGATAGTTTAAACTGCAGCATTAGACAAGATATAAAATTAGAAATGTTGGACACTGAATATGTTTGGCTACAGTTTCTCGAGGGTTGTGAAAAATTAATCTTGGGTTTGATTTAAAGGCCCCCCAAATGTGATAAGGAATGCAGTAAATGTCTCTAGGGTAAAATTCATAAGACATCTAGATATGAAAATGTTGTGTTAGAGGGAGTTTTTAACTTTAGGCAAACAGATTGGAGCAGTTTGACAGGAAATCTTGAGACTAGCGACTTTCTTGACACGATTCAGGATTGCTTTTTAAATCAGTTTGTGAAAAAAATCAACTTGAGGAAATAACCTGCTTGAGGTTATTGATGAGCATGGGGAAAGCAATCACAAATTAAATTTCTTAGGACTGAGAAATTACCTGGGTGGGTAACTATGGACTATTACCTGATGTGACCAGACTATGAATAATGTAGGTGGTGATAGTCGCTTATCAACATTTTTCAAAGCATAGTTCTAGCTACCCAGATTACTTATGTTCCAAATAGGGAAATTAGATCAAATAAAAATGACCCTAAATGGATAAAAAAAAATGAATTAAAACATCTCGTAGGCCAACGGTTAAGAAATCACTATATTCTATTAAAAACAGAAATAAAAAAGGAATAAGAAAAACAAAAAAGAGATTATTAGGTTAAACTCGCAAGGAATTCGAAGATTAACCCAAAAGATATATAGGAGTAAGATTAGGACACGACTCAGGAGCTACTCAGGTCAGGTCACTGACAGTGATAAAGAAATGTGTAGAAACTTTAACACTTATTTCCTCTCAGTTTTTATGCAGGAAGATACCAGCAAAATTCCAGAAAAAATAAATTATATAGATCAGAGCGAAAGTAAGTTATGCACGATTAAAGTCATTAGTGGCATGATTCTCAGACAAATAAATTAAAAACCTAATAAATCGCCGGGCTCTGAAGAACTGCAAGGGTTATAAAAGAATGTAAGGAGGAACTTAGCAAACCTTTGGCAAGTCTTTTCAACATATCACTACAAACTGGAATAGTGCAAGATAAGTGAACAATGGCAAATGAGTTATCTGTCTATAAAGGAAGAGAAAGGTCCTTAGCTACGAATTATAAACCAATAAGAATATTTCCATTGTGGGAAAATTGATGGAATCAGTAATTGCCGAGGCTATTCAAAGCAACCTTGAAAAACATAATGATCAATGAATCTCATCATGGTTTTACAAAGGGGCATATTTGCCTTAAGAATTTAGTAATTTTTTTAAACTAAGGTATTTAAAGAGGTTGATCATGGTAATGAATATGATATTGTGTATATGGACGTCAGTAAGACTTCTGATCAAGTTTCATATTGGGAGGATGTTGAGGAAAGTAGAGGCACACGGAATAAGAGAAATTATTAAATAGACACAGGTTTGGTTGACAGATAGGCAACAAAGTGTTTGCATAAATGGGGAGAAATCAGAGTCACAAGAGGTGTTCCAGAGGGGTCAGTTTTGGGCACTTTATTATTCACAATTTACATTAACGACATAGATTAGGGAATAAATAGCAAGTTTGCCGATGACACCAAAATATGCCGTCGAGTTAATTCTGACAAGGACACTAGAGCGCTACACGAAGACCTGAATACTGATGAAATGATCGGAGAAGTGGCAGATACAGTTTAATATAGACCAATACAAGTTCAAGGCGTTGGAAAGGAAAATAACTGTGGCACACATATATGATCCTTACAAGGTAAAACTACTGAAAAGGTTTTGGAATGTTTAAGGCCATAGGCAACGTCCAAATGTCTGAGGCTGATGACTGATGGTTGCTATTTCTTTCTGTTTATTTCATTTTATTTTATCCTATTTATTCACTGTTTTCTTCCCCTGCTCACTCACTGAATGTTTTCTATTTCGGCTCACGCACTAAGCTACCTTCGTTGCACTTATCTCTATTTTAGGGTCCTCTCTTTATCCTTCTGGTATTGCTGTAATTATGATTCATTTCTGGACAGCAGGTGCCTGACACAAGGCCTGGCTGGCCGCTCGCTGCTTCTAGTAAATACCAGCACTTTCAAATTAACTTATGAAATTGTGGACCTAACCTCACTTTACTGATTAGAGGGGGTTGTTCATTGATACTATCGCATACATTAACCTCTGTAAGCTCCTGGGATAGGCTCAACAACACTAAAATCCAGGAATCACTGCAGTTACTGCTGTGGTGTGTGTGTGTGTGTGTGTGTGTGTGTGTGTGTGTGTGTGTGTGTGTGTGTGTGTGTGTGTGTGTGTGTGTGTGTGTGTGTGTGTGTGTGTGTGTGAGTGTTTGTGAGTGTGTGTGTGTGTGTGTGTACTTGCATATTTGTGGTTGTGATTGGTCGATTCACAGTTATTGGCCTAGTCTCTTCGCTAATCGTTACTAAGACCACTCTCCCACTACTCCAAGAGTCTTATCGTACCTCATCTTAAAGCTATATGGATCTTGCCTCCGCTACTTCACTCTCCATACTGTTCCACTTCCTGACAATTTTAAGGCTAAAGAAATATTTCCTAATATCCCTTTGACTCGTCTGAATTGTAAAATTCCAGTTGTGTTACCTTGTTCCTGTTTCCCATCTCTTAAACTTTCTGGCCCTGTGCACCTTGTTAAATTCCCCTTGGCATTTTATACACATTTATCAAATCCCCCCACTCCTCCTGTCCTCCAGTGTCGTCAGGTTGAGTTCCCTTAACCTCTCCTCGTAGGACATACACCCTCGTAGGACATACACCCTCGTAGGACATACACCTTCGTAGGACATACACCCTCGTAGGACATACACTCTCATAGGACATACACCCTCGTAGGACATACACCCTCGTAGGACATACACCCTCGTAGGACATACACCCTCGTAGGACATACACCCTCGTAGAACATACACCCTAGTAGAACATACACCCTCGTAGGACATACACCCTTGTAGAACATACACCCTCGTAGGACATACACCCTCATAGGACATACACCCTCATAGGATATACAACCCTCTCCCTGTAAGACATATCAGTTTTGTTACAAACATTTGCACTTCCTTCGGTTTCTTGACGTATTTGATCATGTGTGGGATCCGTACTGGTGTTGCACACTTCAATTTGGGCCTGACTTACACGAAGTACTGTCGTGAATGACTCCTTACTTAAAAGCCGAAGCGCTATTCTTAGGTTTACCTGGCGCCCATATGCTGCAGCGGTTATTTGGTTGATGTGCCCCTCAGGCGATGTGCTCGGTATTATGCTTACCCAAGATACTTTTCCATTAGTAAGTTTTCCAGTCTTTTACCCCCCTAGGCTGTACTCCATCTGTGTAGAAAATCTCGTAGTTGAATTTTGCAGACCGTTACAACTCTCCCTAAGTTGGGGAAGAGGTGGGGGGGCCACGTTCATTATACAGTCTTAATTTGCAAGACTTAGCCTAGTAACGATGCCTCCATAGGCTAATGTAATATACATTACTACTTATATGTATTTAAGCTAAGTTAGAGTTAGACAGAATTTAGCTTAGACCCTGGGCACTTTTCTTCCCACCAGGTGGTACTAACGAAGTACACAGCAAAACAAAACATCTCAAATGGTAATTCCTGCTTCATATTTGCAAATATTCAGGGTTTGAAATAAAATAAAAACGACAAAGTTAAGTCAGTGGGCTCCTATCAGAAGCGAATGCCATGTTTGGGGCATTTACAGAAAAACACACAAGGGATGTTATGGACGGAGAGACAAAGATAGACAACTACAACATGTATAGATGTAATAGTATGAATTAATAGGTCATGGGGGGAAAGATTCTATGTAAAAGATACTTTCTGTTGTAC